ATGCAAAGTGGCCAGGACCGGGAAGCAACCCAAATGTCCTATGATAGATCACAGGATAAAGAAGCTGTGGTACATCTATACAACGGAATATCGCGCAGCCATAGGAAGAAATGAAATACTGCCATTTGCGACAACGTGGATGGACCCTAAGATAATCATGCTAAGTGAAATTACCCAGACTGAAAAAGTAGAAAATCACATGATATCACTTATATGTGGGATATAAACCTAAAAGCAACAAATGAACAGGACAAACAGAGACTCAGGGACATGGACAATGGCCTAGTGGTTACCAGAGGGTAGGGGGTAGGGGAGGAGGGGAGAGAGAGGGTAAAGAGGGTCAAATATAGGGGACTTGGGGGAGGGCGAAGTGGGTAAAGGGGATCAAATATATGGTAGGTGAAAGAAACTGGACTTTGGGTGATAATGACACAATAGAATATATAGATGTCAAATTATAATGTACACCTGAAAATTATGTAATTGTATTAACCAATGTTACCCCAATAAACGTAATTAATAAATGTATCTCTTTGCATGAAAAGAAACACTGACCCAAGGGTTAGAGGCCCTTGTACAAATTAGAGTACACCTAATGTAATTAAACAGCTATGTGTCTATGTGTGCATGCACATGAGCATGTGTGTGTGTGTGTGAGAGAGAGAGAGAGAGGATACTAATCAGGTAGGTGGTGAATCTAAGAAAAAAATATCCATTTCTGTTTTGTGAAGTTTTAACTGAGAATTTGCTTTTGAAAAGCTATAGGATTTTCATTAGGCTTTTTATGGAAAATGAGAAATTACTTATTTAAAGGATTAATAGAAATATTAAAAATGATTTAAGTTTAAGCAGAGTTAAAGCAAATTGAAGTTTTGCAAAAAAAAAAAATTATGTTCCTTTTCAGTTGTTCATGTTTTCCAAATTCGTTTGATATGTTATTAAAATTAGAATTTAACTATTCCAGTCTTACACAGTCTCAGAGTCATTCTCTCAACTCTCCTGCATAAAGCAAAATGTAGAAAATCAAATAATACTTTTTTAAAGCTTACCTTCCATTCCTCTTTTTCTATCTTCAAAATGACTCTTCCGTCTTCCCTGGTGACCTTTTCTTTTAGCTTGGTTAAGCTTACTCGTTCTTCCCAGAGCCTCACAAGCCTAAGAGACCAGGAAATCATTTTAGCTCACAGGTAATGACATAGGTAGCATTCACTTTTATATTTAAAAAAAAAAAAAGACCCATCAAAATAAACATTTGATCAACAATATCTGGAAATCAGACAAGGATTTATTTTGCAAGAATTATAAATACGATTAGTACCACAAATGCCTGCCCTATTTTTACATTTTGAAAAGTATCTTAGGTCCCCATAAATTTTTTTACAACAGGTTTATTGAGATATAATTCCCATATCATAAAATTAATCCTTTTATACTACACAATTCATTGGTTTGGATATAGTACAGAGTTGTGCAACCATCACCACTAGTCCAAAACATTTTCATCACTCAAAAAAGAAACTCCATACTGGTTAGTAGGCACTCCCCATTCCTCCCCTGCCCCTGCCGCAGCCCCTGGCAACCACTAATCTACTTCCTGTCTCTGTGTATTTGCTTATTCTGGACACTTCACATAAATGGGATTATGTCTGGCTCTTTTCACAGATGATAATGTTACTCAAAGTTCATCTATGCTCTAACGTGTCAGCACTTTATTCCTTTTCGTAGAAGAATAATATTCCACTGTATGGGTATACCGTATTTTGTTTATCTGTTCTTCAATTCATGGACATTTCACTTTGGGACTTTTATGAATAATACTTCTATGAGCATTCGTGTATGAGTTGTTGTATAGACATATGTTTTCATTTCTCTTGGGTATATTCCTAGGAGTAGAATTGCTAGATTATATGGTAACTGTGTGTTTAACTTTTTTAGGAGCTGCCAAACTGTTTCCAAATTGCCTCCAACATTTTACCTTCCCACCAGCAGTGCATGAGGCTCTGGTTTCTCCACATCCTCACCAACATTCGTTCTTGTCCATCTTTTTGATGATAGCCATCCTAGTGGGTGCATGAAGTAGTGACTCATTGTGATTTTGACTTGCGTTTATTAGATATCTAACCCATAGATATCTAATAAATATCATATCCATAGATATTTAATAAATAAGCTTGCAAACAATACAGTTGAACTTCAGAGTTAAATTTGTATATTATGACATTCCAGTTTTATCCAGATTTTGTTTTTCAGATACAAAAAAGTACAAAATCTTTGTCATTCTGGACACATCCTTATTGATTTTTTAGTGCATTGCAAACATACATAGAATAATATCAAGTTATAAATATTGACTAGGAAAAGGTTGCAAAAGTTTCTTTCTGTACTAGGAAATTTTTCATGTATGAAAAGTAAAAAATAAGTTTAGAATTGAAATGTTTGTAATTTTAGCCTATTAGAATGATAGATACTTAAAGAACTACAAGCAGTCATCAAAGAATATAAATTAATTAATTTGAATATTTATTTGCCAAAAATCTCTTCACATCTGAGAGTCAGTATATAAGTCAGTATATATTAAGTTTTACATCTTAACTGATCTTCAGCAAGGATTTTATTTTAAGGAACAGAAACCCAGATCTCTAAAAATGTAATATTTGCTATCTATATGTTTGTGTTTGCAAAATATTTCTACAGCATCTGTGTATTTTCATCTGCCACTTGTCTGAAATTTAACCAATCTGCTAACAAATACACTGTGGCAGTGTCTACCTGTGTGGCCTTCTAGACTGAACAGCTAACCTTCTGTTAAGTACAGTTAACTGAAACAAAATGTATCATACCATGTCTTAAGTTACATCACGTTTTGTGAAAATAGAACTATTAAAACAGTAGGCATGATGATTATTAGTTACTTTTTATTCATTAAGAGATATTTTTATTTCAAGCAAGATTTAGTGACAAGTACGATTAGGGGTCTTGTTCCCTAACCTTTAACTTCAGCTAAAGAATTCATTAAGCACTCATCATATGCCAAATGCTATTGTGGATACAAAAAAATGTCCTAATGATTTACAGTGAGACTATTATTAAACAGTCTCTTTCTATCTGTATAATGATTCCTAAATTATTCCTGGCTCAGAATTTCTATGATCTAAGTCCAGAACATACCACCAAATTAAGTAACTTTGAACAAGACATCTCAGATCTGTGGGCCTTGCCTATAAAATATGGGATTTGGGTTAAGTGATACCTAAGGTCACTTCCAGCTCTAGTATTTTTAGTATTAATTTCTATACTGCTTATAGAAGCATTAGATTACACTCATCCTGTTTTTACACTATGCCTGCTCATGGACTACTTTCAAATCTGTTGCTTCTTTTGTTTACTTTCTTGCTATGCATGTGATTTGCAGACTAGCAGCATCACCGTCCCCTGGAAGCTTGTTAGAAATCCAAACTCTCAGCCTCCACTCTACACCTAAACAAGAATCTAAATTTTAACAAGATCACTAAGTGATTCCTACACACATTCAAGTTTGAGAAGCACTGCTCTGCTTCAGTGCAGAGCAAAAAGACAGGACATTTCTGTTCTTTGAATTACCTCTGGTCAGTTTTAAAATTCTATAATTTTTTTCCAATTAGCCTTGTTTTCCACTGGCAGATTCTTTGCCTTACTCTAAACAGCGTGTCAGATTCTTACCATTTGACATCAGTTGTGGTTGTTTATTATTATTTCTTCAGTAATACTGTAGGTTTTAAGTCTATGTAGTTTACTCTGGAAATGGCCTAGATTTAATTTCAACCATAAACCAAGTTTCATAAGGCTATAAAATAATTTTGCAATGAAACTTTTAAAATTAAGGGTGCTTAGAGAGACTACATTTTGCAAATTCCATGTAAAGATTCTAGAGCTAGAAACTGATGTAACATGGCATTTACACTTTACTAACAGGTAGTTCTCCCTCCTAATCACAATATAGTCATCAAACCAAAAAAGAAGAGGCAAAAAGGAAAATAATGCACACTCATTCCTCTTGTACAGAGAGAACATAAAGCTGCTGAAATTAAATTATTCTTAACTTGACACATAGGTGAAATTCAGGAGTTTAGAACGAAGTCATGATTTCTGACCACTGTCAAAATATGGATAGGATTTATTAAGAGCATTCTAGAACCAAATTTATCATAATGGTGTAGTATAACATAATAGGTTTCATAAGAGTAGCTTTATATACAAATGGCCAATCGAGGGAAATGTAAGACCTGAAGAGAATGTAATGCTGACTGAGACAATTTGCTTAGGTGTGAATACCAGGTCCACATTTATAAGCAATATGATATTCGACAAGTTGCTTAGGCCTGTCCCTCAGGTTCTTCATCTTTAAAATGGAGAAAATAATAGCACCAATGTGTGGCAGAGACTGCTTATCATCTCCAAGTATCTGTTACTCTTCTTCCTCAATAATAGATTCTCTAACTTTAACTAGGCATAGAATTCATTTAGCTATACCCCTTGCATCTAGATCTAGGTCACGTGAAGCTTTGGCCGATGGATGCTGGCAGTAGTAGCGTGTGCAACTTCCTGCTAGCTGGAATCAAATACAATGGCTGCAGTTGCTATATCTATTTGGGGCCCTGAGGTGACTTTAGGTATGGAAGCCATGCACAGTTGAGCAACAAGGTAGAAGCCTGAGTGTCTGAGTCCGTGTAGTGTTATTCCAGCCCTAGATTGCTTACCCAGAAAATTTAACATATGTTGTTTAAGGTACTATTATTTTGGTTTTCCTTCTCTCATAATGCAGTCTAACTTTCATCACGACACTATATTTAAGCATGTTAAGAGAATTAAATGAGAGCATACAAATAAAACACTTAGCAGAGTGCCTAAACAGGAAGTATACATCAATTAAATGGCTGCTATCCTGCGATTGTCAGCATCACCATCATCTCTACTAACTTTGGTTAGGAAGACTGGCCTCTCCCCATCCAGATCTACCTGTGCAGACAAAGACAGTTGCTTATGTATAATCTTTTCCCTTCTTTGCTATGAAAATACCAGTTACTCTCAAGTGTTTATACTTTCTCCAGGTAACCCAGGTGAAAATCTTAATTTGTCTAAAGTAATCATACAATCTCATTCTCTGGATTAGGGGTGTACAAATGACCCGATTCCAGCCAGTGAGAGGTGAACAAGAGCTTTGCTGGGGGATCCCAGAAAGGTTTCCTCGCTCTTAAGAATGGAAAGAAATAGTTTGTACTCTTCTAATAATATAATGATACCTGGCCATGATGCCTGGAAATGTAACAGTCATCCTGTGGCACTGAGGGAATTCACCTGAGGACTAACCTGACACACTGAGGTTAGCAGCGGAAGACGATTAAAAAGAAACAAACAAAAACAAAACAGAACGAAAAAGCACCCTGAGTCTTCGAAGCCGTTGAAGTGTTGGAATTGCCTTACCTCAGGACTTCCCTATCTCTTAAGCCAATTTTAGTTAAATTTCTGTTAATTGCTGGCTGACACAGACCATTTAATGCTTAGAAAGAGACCTAATGAATGGAGCAATGTGGAATCGATGAGGAAGGGGGCTATTCTTGCTTTGGAGACATTGTTAGGCAAATAGGGAGATATCAAGAAGGCAGAGGAAATGAGAGCCAAACTTTTTAAATATAATAATCCACAGGGGCCCTAGCTCGAACTCACAGCTATTCAAATAGGTGAGAATTTACAGAACCTTCTGCCAAATGTTGTTTTAGATCCCAGGTGACACAATGTTGAACAATCACTGAAAATTAGACTAAATGGTACTAATCAAACTTTGATGAATGTTGAACAGAGTCCTATAAGGGCGTAGGATAACTGTTATTTTTCACATATAGACACTTGTATTTTTTGTGGCTCCCATCACACTGCCAAACTTAATTGAGTCAGATGTTTCCTTTAGGTATATTTTGAATTTTAAGTAAGTAAAAATATCAAATTCAATAATAAGGCATTTAATAAATGCTCTTTTCTATAATGAGGTTATAATTTTTACTAATACAAAATAATAAACATATTATGGCATACTTCCGTTGGAATTCCTTCTCTCGCTGCAGGTCTTCATTGAGTGTCTTTATTCTTTTTTCCCAAACTTCCTTTACAGCATTGACAGCCCCAGTACAAACCACATTTGTTGACATGATTTCTCCACATTGTCACAGAGTCACCAACTTCATTAAGTTCTGAATAGCTAAATCACAGATGCCATCTCAGAAAGGACCTAATTGTACCAGAGGAGGAAAAAAAGAAATCATGTATTTCAGAATGTTCACTGAGTACTGTAATGATCATAAAAGCTTATATTTATTGAACACTTTCTATGTTCCCAAAACTATACACTTTACATGCTGTGTCTCACTTAATAATCCTCTTAAAAATACTATGGCATGGGTACTTTTATTGTCTCTAAAATACAGATGAGAAAACTGAGTCTTAAAGAAGATGGGCAGTTTGTTCAAGGTCACATATCTAATATGTGGCTGAGGTGGGAATTGATGCCAAGTCTACTTCCTTTGTTACTATGTAATTCACAATAATGAAAAACTACTACTAGTTTATACGTCCAATAATAAGAATGTGTTTAAAAATGGATATGTAAAGTAAGCCAAGCATCTTGGGACATCTACCTAACCTAGCTGGAAATCAGTTAAGTGGTAATATATTGGGATTGTTTACTCCTGTATAAAATAAATTGCAAATGGACATATATAATATTGAGGATTGTGACTTGAATCTCAGAAACAAGAGAAAATAATAATAGGGGAATGGTTATATAAATTAATGTAGATCCACTTGATGAAATGTTTTTTACCTTATAAATAATGAAATTTTTTTCACCTTATAAATAATGTTTTTTCACCAAATTATATAAACAATAATGAAAGAACTTTTTTTCACAATTAATTGAATTATTTCCTTCCGAATTCAGGAGTCAAAGATCTAAATTACCACATCTATTCAACATTATACTGGAATGATGTAATGCAAGGAAAGTAAATAGAAAGTTTGAAAAGGGAGAAGTAAAATTTTCAACTGCATGAGGAAACAGGTATGTACTTTCATACACTAAAGGTGGCAGTATATATTGTTATAATCTCTATGGAGAGAAATCTAGTAACATCTATTAAACTTATAAGTGCACATTCATACTTGCGGGAATTTATACTGCAAATATTTTCAATTTTAAAATGACATATTACGAAATTACTCACCATGGTGTTTTTTATAACAGCAAAAGATTAAAAAACAACATAACTTTCCATCAGTAAATTGTAGTACATCCATATCATGGGAAATTATATAGCTCCATTAAAGAGGGAAAAGCGTTTTATATACCGATATGTCTTGATTTCTAAAATATATGACTACGCTACAGTTTACCCACTGAATGAATGTGGATATTTGGGTTTCAGGATTTAGCCATTATGAGCAATACTGTTTCTGAAAGTCTTGCTCTTATCTTCTTGGTGCTCAAGTGGGGCGTCAATGGATATTTTGTATACTTTATATGAAACAAGAAGTAGAGATATAAGTATTTGTTTAAAGTTATAAAGATAATCAAAAGAGGCACTAAAAATGGATATAACTAGCGCGATATAAAAGAACTTAAGCATCGTCTTTCGTAATGGAGCTCCACTGATAATGTCTAAAGTTGATAAGGAAAAGCATATATAACTGCCTTTGGAAAAAAAGAAAAAAATATGGACATAACCACTGAAAACTAGATCTTGAAGTAGTTAAAATGGTTACTTCTAAGGTGTTAGAGAACAATGAGGTAGAGAATACTGCTTTTCATTATTAATCTCCTCTAAATGATTGATTTCTTTAAACTGAAAGTGTGCATGTGTAACAGAGAGACAGAGACAGAGAGAAGGAAAGAACTATTTTACAGAGGAAAAACGTTTAAAATTTCAAGATTTATATTTAGTTGCCAATATGCAAAAAATCATTAAGAGAATGTCTCTTTTTAAGCAATGCATGAGAATTTACACAGGAACAGACTGTGAGATCTTTTGCCATTTAGAAACCTTGGGATAAATATGCTGATAATCCAACTGCCTGGAAATATCATAGCCAACCTACAATTTGTCTCCGATTTTAGCAAGTTTGAAGTATTTGTCTAACAGATAATAATATATATATATTTTTAAATCCCAACAATCTACATGTAAATGTGTATTTTATTAGACATATATGTACTAACTCATTTCCTCATTTGTCATTAAACTTTGGTCAGCCATAAGTTTTCCTATAACAGTGACCAATTTCCCTTAGAAGAAAACAAGTCAATAATGATGTGTGCATTTTTTGCCTTTGGCATAGGATTGTGGTCTCTACCTTGATTATCACCATGACAGAAAAGCACGTAGCCTGGAAGCGAAGTAAGTATGGCAATGACCTGACTGAGAGATTTGGCTTCCCAAAGTCAAAAGAAAGAAATACAATCTCAAAAAAATGCTTCTTAACTTTTAAGGACATCAATCTTCCAAAGAAGGACAATAACATGAGCGACTATGAACCCTCCAAAGGACTTTTAAATCGAATTCCAAGTTCAGTTGTATATTTCATCAAATACAGACACAGTAGAGGCATCGTCAGCAATCTATAAGTGAAGAATGGAAAAATAATTTTTTTTAAATACTTACTGTTGTTGGCGGAAGCAGAAGCTGACATTCCCAAGTTAGCGATTATCAGCTGGGTGAATTATAGGGAGAATTATTTTCAGTGTGGCTCTGAATGATTAAAATCCTCAGTCAGACAGTAACCAAGTGAAATGTAATGTCAGTCTAGTTCTAATTTTAGTTCATGGACAAAGCTGAGAATAGCAAGAATCACATGGAGCATGTGTGCAAAGGATCAACTGATGATATACGTGAGTGTATTCTGCATACGGCAAAATGCTGTATACTATAGGCATAACTCTTTCTAAGGTTGTGAAAAATAATTCCTATTGAAAGTCCTTCCATTTTTCATGACTTAACACATTCTGACTATTTAATAGAATTTAGCAAATCTGTTTCAAACAGAGAAATTGGAAATATGCAGATGTATGGTGTAACAAAAACTCTACCTAGTAAACCATAGATTTTTAAATATTTAAAGGCACAGATGTCTCGGGGAAAAAAGAAGAATGAAGAGGCGGATAAGAAGGTTGACAGAGAAGCCCCAAGTTCTGCTGGGCCCAGGCCTCAAAGTCGATTATCTCACAACCTTTATCTCTTCAGCCTTCCATAGACAGGAGTTAATTCCTGGTTCTTTAAACTTTAAAAAATTATATGTTTATTTTTTGAATTGGTAATATAAGCACATGGACAAAAGATAATGACCTCCCCTCCCATCTGCAGCCACTTAATTCTCTTCTCTGAAAGCATTCACTACTGCCAGGGACATGTGCCCTTCCAAATACGGTCTGTGACTTTATAAGCATAAACATGCCCATATTCTTTAAAAGCACACATGTGTGCTGGCATGCACACACACACACACAAATGGTAGCCTCCTATATTGTTTTATACCATGTTCACTTCACTCAGAATTCTTGGAAATTGTTTCATATTAGTGTATTTAAAGTTGCATCATTCTTTTTAATGGCTACATTACATTTTGGTGTGTAGGTGGATCATAATTTGTTTAGTCACCTGGACACTTTGGCAATTTTAGTGCTTTTAAATACCTGCTTATTCCATAGACATTCTCTAATGCTTCTATAATGAATAAGCTCAGAAAGCTATGGGACTGCTTTCAAGATCACAGAAAGAGTAAAGAAGCTGTGGCTAGAACCTAAACTCTAACCTCCTGTCCAGAGGGTTTGCACCATCCCGCACACGTGGCTTCCTTGAACATAAGTCAATATTGAGACTCAGGGATTTTGTTTCAGTTAAAAGAATATTAAATCATCATTTTTTAATAGACACATATACACATAGACATACAGGCATTTTCCTAAACCAATCAATGGTGGAGACATGAGTAAATATTATATGAAAACCATTTATTCTATAGCTTCCTGGGTATCGGCCAAAAATTAGGAGCTCATTGGAAATGATTTTAAAATCTTCATTTGAGAAAAGCATGCTGTGAGTCTAAATAATCAATATGTCATTTAGCAAATAAAGTACAAATGAACAAAACATAATTTCTCTTATGAATGAAGTGGTTCTCATAGTTTTTCCAATTAGTTCTCACATGAACTATAGAACCTAAGCAGTAGTAATCAGAATATTATGCAACTTCCTGGGCAATTTAAACCTGAAATTGGATAGACAGAGAATGAAAGCCAGTATATAATGTCTTGCTTCAAAAGAAAAAAAAAAAAAGACAAAGAAAAAAAGACAGAAAAAGCATACAAAAATTGCACTGGCTTTCTATATGTTGAGTGAAGTATTGTTGGTCACATAACAAATTGAAAAGATATCTTCCTTCTGCTTTTATTTTTATACATTACTTTTTAGTTCTACAGAAATAAAAGCTACACTGAATTTTAAGTTCTTTTGCTGGATAATACTTTATTTCTTGGTTATCGACCCAACCTTTGAGGATATATTGTATACATTTCAAAAGGCAACTACAAAAGTTATTTTTTTCATATTTCTACAAAATACTATGCAGAACCCTTAATATCTGGTAAAGATGGAAGCTATGAGATTCCTAACTGTATTTAGAAAGTATTAGAAACCAAAAAAAAAAATCTTATGGAAATACCGTTCTGTTAAAATGGGAATGCATTGGATTTATATATATCAATGTTTTTAATATTCTCTAACTTATTAGGGAAACTAGTGCAGTAAATGACAATGGTGATTTTAAAAAATTATGCCATCTCTGTGACAGTTTGTCCTGCTCTGTCCAAGCAACATTTGAACCAATGTGGCCCTTCTAATCTTGTGCCAAAAATGCAATGGGTCTGCGGCCAGGTTCTTGGGCAATTTGTTAAGCCTTTGACTTGCGGAGTTGTTAGTGTGGTGGCTTAGCTCATTGACTTCTCTTAGTCGCAATTGAATATATAATGTTTCAAATTGTTAGTGAAGGTCTGATTCATATTTATTCCTGCAGTTTCCATTAGCTTCATCACTCCTGCCATCAACTTAACTTGAACTTGCCTTTGGTTAAGTTCCAACGGCAGATGGAATTCTGACTGCATTTTTTCCAGGAAACTAAATTGCTAGGTTTTTCCAGATGATTGCACTTTCACAGCTTCTTTGCAGACTTTATAACACTGATATATATATATATTTTTTTACTTTTCCTTTTTACCACGTTTTTAGAACTACCATCATGTTTTTAGGACTTTCCTTTTTACTACATTTTTAGAACTACCACATGTTTAGAACATATTTCAAAGTTTCTTGCAGCAAACTTCAAGTTAAATAGTTTATCGCAAGTCTCCCACGGTGTGACGGCTCCTCTGGGAATGCGGGTGGGTGGGGGCATGGGTGCTCCCCGTTGAAGGAGACCGTCTCCTCAGCCTGTAGTGAGCACGAACCTTCCTTTCACTGTCCCGACTGTCCCCTATATCTAACCTAAATTCCTGATCTCTCACCTGTTCTCATTTCTTCTGTCCTGTTAAGACCTGCAACAGCTGTTCCCATGCTTTGCATTGTAACATTCCATGTGCTACTCAGTAAAAGCCTGATATAGATGGTCTCTACTGCCGAACTGCAGTTATTCTCGTCATGCTTCAGTTGTTTTTGTGGCTGTCCTCTGGACTGTCTCCAAATTCTGCTCAGTTTTGAGCAAGCTGGCCTAGAGTTCTCT